ATAAATGTATAATATATATATATTTTATTTTATTTTTATTAACTTAATTTTCTAGTTACATTCCTTCAGCTGTTTTACAATTATAATATTATCTAGTTACTTCTACTATTTTTTTAGATTTTATAATATTAGTTTATTTATTTCTGTATGTTTTTTTTTTTATTATTTTCTATTTATAGCTATCATTATAGTGTTTATTAGTTTCAGGATCTATCCAATATTACATACCTTATGCTGAAAAACCAAGTACATGTGTAATTTCATGAATTATTGTTTCTATATAATCCTTAAAATATTTCGGATCTCCTTCAAGATTTTTCATATTATATATGTTAAAATTAACTCTTCCAAATGTAGGTCTAGTTATTCCTTCTCTAGCAATACCACAAATAACGGCATCTGCAATGTCTTCATTTTTCTCATTATTATAAACGATGTATAAGTGTAAATCTGATTCAGCAATACCAATTGTATAATCTTTTTCAGGAATTTAAACTTCTAAACATTTTTTTGACCAACCTTTCGGAAAAACGTTATTTTATTTAATTGGATATACTTTCAAAAGTCTATTAAAAAAAAGCTTAGATGCTTCCATAATTTCTTTTATGTATTCCTTTTATTATCTGGTTATTCCCTATTTTATTTTATCTAACATAGAATAATCTATAGATATTCTAATAGGCTTTGCCTCTCCTTCTACTGTTTAAAGTATTCGTTAGTCATAGTATTCATTTTACATTTATTCATAATTTTCCTACATTTTATTATAGTGATCTTGTATTATTTTACTTTCATGACCACATTGATGTCTATAATTTATCAATGTACTTAAAATTAAGATAATAATTAAAATTAAATTTTCAAGCATATTTTTTTTAATTTTTCTTTTTATTTATTTTTTATTTAATGATTTTAATAATTTTTAAATTCATTTTATATTTAATAAATTATTAATATATATATTTATTTCATTCATTTTTTTTAAATTAAGTATTTTTTTTTTCATGGTATTAGTATAATAAATTTTTAATTTTAATATTAGAGACGTGAAATTTTTATTTAGTTCATATTTAAAATAACATTATAAATTAATTTTAGTTGTAATTATATAAACTAATGGCATAACTTTGTATTATAAAAATAATAATAATAATAATAAATCAGAAATAAAAATATAGTAGTTTATTATATAAAATATTTTATTTTTATTATTATTAAAATTATTTATTTACATATAAAATTTTCAGTAATTTAAATACTATTATTTTTTTAATTAAAAATTTTTAAAAAAAAAAAATTTAATATTACATAAATTTAACTAATTTATATATATAAAAAAAATATTAAATTTAAACATAAAATATTTTATTTTAAAACAAATTAATATATATAATAATAAGATATATAATCATAATTAAAAAATTATATAAAATTAATATTTATTATATTAATTAAATATAATTTTATAATAAAGAATAAAATTATTTATATAATAATTACTTATATAAATTTTTTTTTTTATTTTATTAAATTTTTTTATTTATATTATTATTGATTTTTTATTAATATTATATGTTTCATCAAAATAATTATTGATAATATATTTTTTTTGCTTTTATTTTTAATAAATTTTAATGATCTAATTTTAATAATTTACAAATAAAAAAAAATAATAGAAAATATAAAATTATTTTATACTTTTTTTACTTTTATTATATTATGAAAATTTGAAGCATTTATATATAAATATATATTTATATATTTTATTTTTAATAAATATTATTTATATTTTTAATACATATAAAGTATAATTTATTTTATCTCTTTTATATGTATTTGTAACTTGAATATTATTCTATAATATTCTAGAATTCTGATTAGTCATTTTCATTACAACCCAATAGAACGTTTTTAAATATTTGAAAACCATTCTAATTTTATAAAATGTCAATATATTTAGTAATCAAGTTATTTTATTCACCATTATTTGTTACTAAACAAATAAATCTTTATGAAATTTCTTTTTAAACAATAAGAATTTAAAAATAATTTAGGTATTTTTTAAAAAACATCTAATGTTATCTTCAAAATAACAAATTAATTCCTATATTAATAATATACTTATAACTATTAGAATAAATAGTTCTTAACAAATTTACTGAAAAATCATATTTTATATATTATTTGTATAATTTCTAACAATCCAAAATATAATTCTCTTACTCTAAATCAATATAATTATAATCAAGATAAATATATTATGATTGAAAAATTAGTATTGTATAAATTTTTAGCTCTCAATTATTTATTTTTCTTTTATATGTTTTCTAATTTCTAATTATTATTTTTATTCTTTAATTTAAATGTATAATTACTTTTATTTTTACGTATTAGGTGAATTACGAATTCAGGTATATTACCAATTGGTGATGATTGTTAAATATCTGTTATTTTTAAAGAATTAATCACAGGATTTTAGTATATTACTAAAAATAATCGTTCTATATTTGCGATTGCTCTTTTAAAAGACATAGGTTTTTATGCTGAAGTAAATGAAAATATGGGGAAAAAGGAAAAGGTTGCGATTTCTTAGAAAATGTTTGCTATAGTAATACTGAATACCCAGAATTTCCTAAAAATTTAGATGATCTTTTATGTTCATTCGAATATGAAGGATTCGCTCTATCTGAAACTAACAAATATGCAGACTAATGTAAAATAGTATAGCCTGAAATAGAAAATCTTTGTACAAATCCTAATGCTATAGAGGATGATGAAGATTTAGAAATGGAAGAGGATAAATTATCTGATTATTCAACTCAAAGTAAATGCTTCTAATCTTCATATATGTAAAATCATCATCGTAATATTAATATAATATTAATTTAAATGCTCCTCCCTCCGATTCGTCTAAAATATCTATTATTTTTCCAGATATTTAATTGTAAGTTTTATGTGGAACAGGGAATTAAGGGGAATAAAAGGATATTGATAAAACTCGCAAAAAAGCTAAAGGTAAAATCACATGTCCTTCAGATTATAATAGATTCTGTAATAATTCCCGTACATGTCCGAATTTCTGTTCTTAAAAAGGAGTCTGTGTAAACGGACATTGCATATGCTAATCTGGATATAGAGGGGAAAATTGTATTACAAAATGCTCCGGATTATTCATTGATGGAAAGTGTATATAATAAGGCTCTTGTCCTTCAGGTAAATTCAAGAACCCAGATAATACTTGCAAATCCAATTGTCTTTAAGGCCTATATGGAAAGGATGGTAATTGTGAACCATGCCATAGCAGTTGCTTTAGTTTTACTGGACCGACCAATATAATTAGTGTACTAAATGTTAGTTTTTAACATTATTACAAGATAATTAGTGTTTGGATTAGAAACAAGGATATAAACCTAATTATGGTTTGGGTATATGCGAGTCTTAGTTATCCACAGCACGTTAAGGAAATTGCAAAACTTGTGTAAAAAAAAATTCTTCTTTATATATAACTTGTAGGATATTGCTGGTAAATTCTAAAGAATGTGTAAAACCTTTTATTTGATATCTTTAATTAAGAATTCTAATACATATATTAAATGTAATACTTCTAAAAAATATAGATTAGGTTCAGATAAAAAATGTAAATTGTGCAAAGAAAATTGTTCATAATGTAATCCTAATACATAATAAGTCATGATAGTAGAAGTTGTGTAAATTAATGCCCTGGCGCTAGTTTTTATTTTGATAGTATTGAAAATGCTAATAATTTCATAAAAATTATTAAAATTTTAATGATAATGGTTGCGAAAAATGTTAAAATGGTTACTATATAGATTCATAAACTAAAGCTTGCACTTAATGTCCTTCTAAATAAATTAATTGTCAAAATTGTGATGATTCCATCTATTTATAATGTAATAATAATTAAAAAAAAATGCTAACAAAATATTGCTTCAGTAGGTAATACTATAATTAATGGAATTATAATTATAAAATATCCGACAGGATGTAAAAAATATAATGAATCTAAGCAATGATTTTAATGTAATTAAAGTTTAATTATTGATTATAAAACTAAAAAACATCTTACATACATGTATTTAAAAATACAGACATAGATATAATGAGTAATTAAAATAATGCACTAAAATCCCGTCTTCTAGATTATTACATTAAGTTTAAGTCAATAATTAAAAATTAAATAATTATCAAGGAGTCTATGGTTTTTTTATTCGTTATGTTATATTTGGATTATTATTGTGATATTTTTGAAACAAAAAAAATAATGTTTATTTTATAATTAATTATTATGATTTTTTTTTATTTAGCATTAAATATATTTCATTGCTTTTTTTTATTTATTTTTTAAATTTTAAAATTACAAATTGAATATTGACATTAATAAATAATAATTTTATTAACAAATACATTATTTTAAACTTATATAATATTTTATTAAAATTGTGCGGTGTGA